ATATAAAACAGAGGTGCTCCCGGAAATTTTGTATATATATACATATTATTATCATTATTATGACTATTATTATTATTATTATTATTATTATTGTATATTTATATAGCGCATTTCTAAAACTCTATGCGCTTAACAATTCCAACTTATTTTATCATTTAATTGTTAATTAATAAAACGTTTACTATTCAAAAAAATGTGAAATTACAATGTGTGATGGTAAATAACGCCAGGTCCCAAACGGTCAACCATCCGTCTCTGCACTGGAGCAATCCCAGACATGGCGCACAGGTTAAACATTTGCCCTGCCACAGACGAATGGGTGCTTTGTAATCAAAAGAGAGGGAGAAAGAGGAAAAGAATTGTTTTCACCGAAGGTGGAAATAAAAAAAAAAGTTTTTATAGTCTTAATTTGAACTGTCCGACACTAATGGCATCACGCATCGCCAGGAAGTCCATTTCAAGGAGTAGGAGCTGATATGGAAAAGTTGCATCCCCGTAAGTGATAGTTGCAAGTGCTCTCGGTAGAGAAAGGAATCGCTGCGACAAGGACCTGAGATTTCTCTTGCTTTGATAATCACTTATCAGTTCTTTGATATAAGACGGAGAGTTGTACAGTCGGCATTTAGCCTATACGTCAAAAGTAACACCTTGAACTCAACTCTCTTACGCACAGGTAGCCAGTGCAAATTTCGCAGGACGGGTTTTACGCTCATGCCGCCTTGATTTAACTATATATTAGGCCTATACATACATATATATATATATATATATATATATATATATTATATGTGTATATATATATGTATATATATATATATGCGTGTATATATATATGTGTATATATATACATATATATACATATATGCATATATATACATATATATATATTCATATATATATGCCTATATATAGATTTAAGTCTGAGATTTTCTTGTGTTCTATGTGTCTAAATAATGATGTAATATCATAAATTTTTGAAAAAAAATGTCTGCAGAAAACATTCCGCCTGAGTGTATCTGAAGTGGATTAGTTGGGTTGGAGGACTCGTTCGGGAAGGAAATTAGACTGTTTCAGCATTGGTAACACTACTCCGTCTAGTGTCGTCCAGTGTGAATTTAAATAGCTTGATGGTTAAGATGCTTGCTTTCCAATTCCAGTGTCCTGGGTTCAATTCCCGTGACCACAGGATTTTCTAGCACGACTACAACCAGGGAACTTTGTATAAAACGACTCCATTCACTAAGTCTCATTATGAGACTAGGTTATTAAAGCTGGGTCGCCTTGTAAGGCAACAGTTTAGATATCAACATTATAGACCTACTCATTAAAAAGGGAAAACAATGTTTTTTTTAAAAAATAAATTCGTGGAATGACAAAGGGATTTCAATCAAATAAGACATTTCAACTCCATTAGAAATAATGTTTAAGTATAATATAATACTGACTCATAAATCCAAGGTCGGAGAAATTACTAGCAAAGCAGTGAGTCATACATAATTATGTTCTAAGAGAAGTCTTTTTAAAAACAGCAATTTGGTTCATTTAGGTTTTTGTTTTGAGGAGGCTGGTTGTTTCCTGCCGGCAGAATGTGGTTCAGGAAGACTTTGTTATTCTTGACTCTCACAGCCTACAGTCTCTTGATCCAAGGGGATACACGAGTACGTCATACGAGGAAGAGACATCGAGAATGTAAGTATCAAATTATATATGGCAAATGCCGTATGGTAGTCATGCCTCTCTGCCATATATTTATACAGTCAATATTAAAAAATTAAAAACAAATTAAAATTTTTAAATAACTAGTAGAGCACATTTTTCAAACTTTGCTTATACAATTAATTCCATTCATAAATAAATTATATTTCGTCTTTTTATTTGTATATACATACGGCTCCTCCACGACCCACCCACTATTTTTCAAAAGCACGGTATGTTGAACTTTTGTGCGACGGTAACAGCAGTATTCGGCAAACTGGGTTTCGGCAAACTGGGTCGTCATGATTTTGGTGAACTGGATTCGAAAAACTGTGTTTCGGAAAATTGGTCATAGAATAGGTAAACTGAGTTTAGACAAACTGGTCGGATACCTATCGCTGCGCCAACCATCTCCGATATAATCATTTTGATCCACAAAACAGTCACATTTCTTCTTATAGATAACAAGGACAGTTTTATCAGAAGCCAATGTCAATTCTGCAATCTCCAATCCTTAGAAGAAACCCCTGTATGCGGCACTAATGGGAATACATACTATTCAGCATGCCTTCTTAAGGTGACTGCTTGTATGGAAGCTGACCCCACGCTACAGATCCGGCATCGAGGAAGATGTCGATCACGGTTAAGGAACTATGAATTAGGATTGCTAGAGGAAGGCAGCTCTGAGCTTATTAACGAACACGCGTCAGATTCTAGGCAGTTTGAACGTAAAACATCCAAATATGGAAACAGAAGTGATATAGCAGATGAACGAGAAGTCTTGGAAGATGAAGAGTTTTTGGCAATTACATCACCTGCAACCACGTCATCACCTTTTGATAAAGGTAAGCCAGTAGATATTGGCAGATGATTGTCGAGGGTCGGTAAGATGCATATTTCAATATGTATTAAACTACTGAATTGATGTTGCTATTAAGGAATTTTTGATACGTGATACACGTGTTGTAGATACAACAAAAGATGACAAGGTAGAAAACATGTTCTCAAATTGTGTCAGTATGTACTGTAGTATTTTCAATGAGGATGTAAATAGGCATGTCAATTTATCTTATGACAGATATGAACGATCCAGGAAATATGTGCCCAAATTATTGCTCACTTGCTGATCTGGATGAAGTGTGTGGGTCTGACGGGCTTACTTATGTTTCAGCCTGCTTTCTAGAGTTGGCAGCTTGTCAACCTGGACAGTCTGATCTAAGACTTGCCTACAGAGGGCACTGTAAGAGAAATGTTTTACCAACGTCTCAGTCAGAGGGTATGCTAATAATTCATCCAGTCTTTTTATTATGATATCAGTATATTCAATAATTTTATAAAAATCTAAATTGTAAAAGATATTTAGACTACAATCCTTATAAAATGTTGTTTATGTTTATGTTATTAGGCCTAATTGTAAGTTATGTCTCACCATAGTTTTTTATTCTAAAATATCTTAGAAACAGTGCAACAGAAAAAAATCCTATTTTTACAGGTGTCACACAGGTTCCTGCCCTTGGCGATGCTATTGTAGCAGAACACTCTCAAGAATGCTGCCCTTTAGATTTATACGACCCCGTATGCGCACGCCTAGACACACAGGAAATCACGTTCCGATCAATGTGTGAGATTGAGTGCATGTATATGCGCCAGTCTCTCAATATTGAGATCATCAAACAAGGCAACTGTGACGACAGGTTCGCTCTACAAGGTGAATTGAATTGAATAATACTGTAATATGCAACTGATGGTAATGATATAACCATAATAAATAATAATTATGAAGAAGTTAATGATGACTATGATAATGATTATGATGATGATATTAGTAGAAAAAGTATCTGCTTTGTTGAACAAATAGTGGCTTAAATTAGCAACGGTATCAGCAACTGCTTCGTTCAATTCACTTTCTTCAATTAAACCTTTGATGAATTTAGCCATCCAATGGTTTAATAGCCTACAGAAAGTGACCGAAGCAGTTGCTGAAACCGTTGATAACACAAGCTCCTATTAATTGATTCAACAAAACAGATCATTTTCGTACTATACATGAACCAGATAAGATTCTGTGAGAATATTACATAATAATGATGATGACGGTGATGTAGATAATGATAGTGATGATGTCGCTGACGAAAACTACGGTAATGCAGCAACAGAATTGAAAAAAAAAAACATAATTGCATTATTTACCTTAAAAGGTGTTAGTTTCCTGACATAACCAAAGTACAACATGGCCTGTAAAAGGACTATATCTCGCTGATGAGATCTTTGTATTACTTGTAGGTTTGCAATCATATCCCCTGACTTGTGGAAATACGATTGACTACGACATTAACGATGTCACTTCATATGCTATGTACATAAGTCAACTTATGCAAATGTACGATGGTAAGATGAAAATCACCAATTTTTTCTTTCAATTTTCTTATTGTTTTTAATATTATTAGTTTAGAAAAATTACTAACAACAGTACGTTTTTTTATTTCTATATTCATCCATACATAAAGCCAAGTCATGCAAAGCAATGTACATTAAATTAAAAAACCTTTTTACTGTACATGTCACCCTCAAGGAGCCACTCCAACTCAAAAAGTAGGAACTGTGAATTTTTTGATGTAGAATATCTCCTCTGCGAGCTAAACCAACTCCATAAAAATAAAAGTATTGCAATGTAACAGCTCAAACATACATGTAATATATGGATTAAGTAGGCTTATGGACAAAAAATAACATTTTAAAAAAACAGAGTAAAAAGAAGAAAAACAACTAACACTTCATATCGTAAATTTTCTCGCAAACAAAAAGCGTTGTTGGTAAGTTTTTTTTTACAGTTATACGACATTGTAGACAGTGAAGCTCAGGATATTAATAAAATGTTCATTGCCATCTGGAGGTAACCTCATTGCATCAGGTAATTCCTACATCATTTAACTCGCTATAAAGGTAATACGAAAGAGATTATAAAAATTACAATTTAAGAGAAAATGTGTTGCATCCTCTATTTCCCCAAAAACCTTAATTCCAGATGAACCATATTTGTCAGGGATAACACACTCAACAAAGAACTTGCAAAATTATTCCCAGTGTGCCTTCAGAGGGATAAGGTCAACATCAATGGGAAAAAAAAAACCAAACATCGTTCTATACAAAAAAAAAAGAATATTAAAAAAAGAATTATAGCCTCTTTAATCTGCTTTCTACAATCTACAAGAAAAATCTATTATCAACAGACAAATACGATAATCTGGACGACAATCAACCACTAGACCAAGCTAGGTACAAAAGAGGATTCTCAGTCATTGATCACATCTATACTGTAAACGAGCTAATAGAAACATGTTTTCAGTACAACATACCACTCTTCACAACATTTGTGGATTATATAGGCCTATATGACAGCATTTTTCACGTGTTCCTACAATACATGCTGCAGAATCAAGAAGAAGTAAAAAAATCCTTGGCCATCAATCCTTGGCATGGTAAATATTGATAAAGATAATCTTATTATCTTGTGTCTGTTCCTCCAGAAAATGCTTCTCCAGAGTTCTGTGTTTGTGTAAAGCTTGTGCTTTGCAAATCTATTGTACAAGTATTTAAGACAATTTTAAAGATATTGATGACTTTGAATGGGTTTAAGATCCCTCAAAATTTGTAGCACTAGACTCTGGAACTTTTGTATTAAAGGAGCTATGACCACCGATGAAGAGAGTCAATTCCACACGGGAATGGCGCACACAAAATGTGTATGTCTATGTGTAGGTGTTTGCTCTTGCTTGATTATTTTGAAAGCAGAGGATATTGGTGGTTCTTCCTTGATGGAACAACACAACAGAGAAAACAAATGTTAAACAACCCACACTTTATCTTGTAAAACAATGAGCACTGATGGTAAAGCCTTTGTGTAGCAAGACCGTTTATGCAAACAAGGAATACCAGTAGTACCGTCATCATACCATTACTATTACAATTAACAGTAACTTTACCTGTCAATTAGCGTTATTATGAATACCATTACACTTATCATTATCATTATTAACTGCTGACTAAAAATGTCTGTTATTCCTTATATTTTCATGATATATGACAGAACAAATCACATTTTGAATTTTTTTTTTTTCGCATTCCAGAATACACACCAACAAAACAAAAAAGATTGTATAAAAATTGTGCAGAGGGCTCCACAGCACGTAAGCAATTTGGACGATTATGTAAATTCAAGCAACGTCAATTTGGAAGCTGGTGTACTCCTGCGAATATGTTTGGTTTTGCAAGTGGCCAACCTTGTATTATGCTACAATTAACTAAAGTAGGTCTGTCTTTTTGTCTGTTGGCAAATGTTTGTTTATTTATACAAATATTCTAGTTTAAGGAATTGGGTTATTAGTTTCTAATATATTGATATACATATAATAATAAGGTGATGATGATGATGATGACCTAAAATCTTGCATACTAGTAGCCTGTGTACAATGGCCTTTAATGTTTAATGATGTCCTAAACACGTCTGTGGACGCCATCCGACGTGCTCCGGCAGTGAGGATTTTTTTTTTTTTTTTTTTTTTTTTTTTGTTACTTAAAAATTTTTTTTTTTTGGTTTCTTCTATTTTTATTCTCATTCTTAATAAGTATAGTGAATATTCAATTAACAATTTCTCATTTTCAATTAATTATCGAGAAAAGATCTCCTGAAATGTGTCCATACAGTAAAATCGTGTATTAATATTAAGTATTTAATATTTCCCAAGAACCTGGGACAACTTCTCTGCTACAGTTAGGTTGGAACTGATTTTGGTGGTTTCCTGGTTTATTTTACACTCAAACATTTCATTGCCTCCTAGTTTTACATAATGTTATTTAACAATTAAAAATTCAAACTATGATTTTAATTGTATTTCTTTTTTTTTCTGACTATTTGTTTTGACTTTATTTATTAGTTGTGATTTTTATAATGTATTACATTATCAAATAATATTGATAAATATTTAATTTTAGTACTAATCATTAAAAAAATCATTTTGTTGGAAATTTATTCATCTTTTCAGATTGGTGATATGCTAGTTTAATCATACCATCAATATTCATATACAGTGTATTAATGCTTTGGACCACTGTTCTTGGAAACCCACTGTGATTTTCTGAACTCGGGACAAGTTTTTTTTTTTTTTTTTTTTTTGCACTGCTGGTTTCACATTCTGTTCATCTGTATAATATTTGTATTATCATGTCAAAAGATAAAATTATTGAAGTGAAAATGAGGCAGTATAGCCATTTCTTTGATGGTCTTCTCATTAGTTGTGTTGCCATGAGTTCTCCCTTTAAATTATTTTTTCCGGTAACACCCCCACCTCCACTTCTGGTGTGTGAATATGCTGATAACCATGTAGTTGCCATAGTTTAACTTATCCTTGTTTTCAAATATCAGACTTTTCCAAATAAGAATGGGTTTAAGTGGAAACAACGAAAATATACTATTAAAACTCAGTTAAAAAAAAAAAAAAACGATTGTATAAAACAACACAGATGACAATAAAGACACACTTAAATAATTAAAGAAAAACTACCACACAGTACTCACTGGTCTATTCCGAATATGTTATGTTAATGTCCGCAAGGAGAAGGCTGGTTTACCTGACGATAGTATACGTGGGCGGGGTCTTGACTGTCTAGAATCCCTTAAAGGGGATTTTAATGGCTTACTTAATCGAGTGTCACAATCTGTAATAATTACAAGGAATTTTCTGTTCTGTTTTTTTTTTCTCCGACTTGTGGGTGGTTAAGCAGGCCAGTTTCTGCACTAGCGCCACCACTTTCGCCGACCTGATCCGACCAAGGCTGTGGAAATTAGCCAGCAAGTTATTAACACCACCACTAAGAAGGTGGATCAAATAGGTTGCGACGATGTGCTACCAGATGATGTCTCCCTATCGCGTTCCACCTTCTTATTGAGAAAATAAAAGAACATTGGTTTTAAGTTTTTGAATGTTCAGCTTCTGCTGGATATGATTCACCCTCATCAAATATGGTTTAAATCTAAAATAAAAAATAAATAAATTGGGATGGTCAAAGTTTCTATAGTTAGGTTAGGAATTCATGTGTTGGTTTGGAGGTGTATATTTGAATAATTATAATTTAAAGATTACACAATTATTCCAAAATGTAAAGATCGTGTTCTCTCTAGCAGAGGGCATATGATTTCTACTAATTAGGAAAATTACATTAGAAGCAATATCAATCAAATTGAAAGAAATACAAAACAACCAAGTATATTATACATATTATTCAACGTGGTTTTATTCGATTTTTTTGAAAAAAAAAAAGGTGTCGAATTGGGTACCAATTAACTACAAGAATACTCCAAAGAAACTTTCTGCCGTCCATCGACCAAACTACATTTCGGTGACTTGTAATGAAATTGTAAGTTGGGGAAATATATTGTCACATTTATCTATAGTATTAAAAATTACAATCTTGACCTATTTACGAAAAATATCAAATAATAAATAAATATGTTTAGAAATACAGCATTAAAAAATGATTAATGAAACACTATCTGTATTTATTTATAAATATTGTATTTATACTTAGATTGATCGAAAGAAACGCGTAAACACAACAAAAATATTTCCAAAGAATGGTTTCGGTTTTCATCATTTCCCGTACAGGGGAATGGAACGATGGCCTTACCAACGCCAGTATTTATCACCGGCAGTGCTAGTGAGAATTATACCAAGGAAACTAAACGCGAACTTTCGTATTAAATGTCGTGCCTGGGCAAAGAACATAGATTATAAGACGGGTATCTATGCAGACTTTTATCAAGCACAAGCAATAATTGCTTTTAGTATTACAGATAATAATTTACAGTATAGAATGTCAAGATTGTAAAGTGAATTGCGTCCTCTATCAATGGAAAATAATAGTAATATTTTGTGGTGATAAATTATGATTCTGTAACCATAGTAAATAATATTTAATAGTATTTATAGTATTGTCTAACTTGGTTACTCGCATTGATAGAAAGATTTCAGTTTAGATTACCGCTACATTTTTTCATACAACTGGGAAAAAAGAACTTTACGTTGAAGGGCTATGCTTGATAAGATTGTAACATCTTATGTTATCTGAGCACTGATATTATTTATCTATTTGTTTATAATGTTTACGATCATCAAAGAAAGGTAAATAGAGTGTTCGAATAAAGGACATGATACATGTAGCATAGCTCATTCTTTAAGAGCTATGCTACTCGATGTATTATCATGTCCTTTATAGGACAACATTCGTTGAGAGCTATGCTACACGACGTATTATCATGTCCTCTCGAACACTGTATTTACCTTTCTTTTATGATTTATATATAATTTAACAGTGTTAATAGTTATTTTGATTTAACCTTCGTGATATATTAGTACGATCTAAATTCAAGAGGGAAATTAGCTCTTGCGCCAGCCATAATTTGGGCAGTCATCTTTGTGGTTCATCATGCAAAGCATGCTCCTTGCTTGATTCTCACAAACATCCAGGAGCAACCAAACAAACCACATATTTCGGATAAGGCAATCAATTTATTGCCTCACCAATGCAATTTATCTTATTTATTTCTCTATCGGGTTTGTTAACTTGCGTTTACATCTTGCTTATCAGTTTTGTGTCCACAGATATGCGTGTGTCATCCCACAGCATAGTTG